AAAGCTTGCGAAAGCACATTAAATCCTGTTTTTCGGATATATCGTGTTTTCTCATGCCGCATCCCGGTTTAGAGATCGCGACGAATCCGAAATTCGACGGTAGATTATCCGAGATACAGGCCGAGTTCAAAAAACAATTAAAAGTGCTCATACCAATGATACTGGCGCCGGAAAATCTAGTGACCAAAAAGATCAACGGCCAAGTCGTGAAAGCGAAAGATCTATTGGAGTATTTCAAAAGTTATATCAACCTTTACAAGGGAGATGAACTTCCCGAACCGAAAAGTATGCTTGTGGTATGTATAATTTAGTGATTTCTATAATTTATATAGTGATTTTTATTTATATAAATCGATCTTTTGTTTTATTCAACTGGAACGGGTAATCATATAAACCGCAGTAATTGCGTTTTGCATTTACAGGCCACAGCGGAAGCTAACAACTTAACCGCTGTAGCAGAAGCTAAGGATTTATATCTTCAGATGATGGAGACCGTGTGCGGTGGAGCGAAACCATTTTTAGCGACCGCTCATTTAGAATCTGAACATCAACATTGTGTGGATTCAGCTCTTCGTCAATTCCAGAATAAACGAAAGATGGGCGGAGAAGAATTCAGTCAAATATATATGGAAAAATTAATCAAGGCAAATATGCACATTTAATTAAGTATTGTAATTTTTCTAATTTTTTTTCTTGAATATCTACTTTATCAAATTATTGTCAATATAGGACATGGCTGACGCTTTCTTGCAATTTAAGGCGCACAATGAAAGCAAAAATATTTTTAAAGCAGCACGGACGCCAGCAGTGTTTTTCGCAATTGCCGTTACTATGTATATTTTATCCGGAATATTTGGTCTTGTTGGTCTGTACACAATAGCGAATGTATGTAATCTTATTATGGGTGTTGGCCTTCTCACGCTTGTCTTATGGGCATATATAAGGTATGTTAAAATATTGCATTTGTTACAATTTTCTGTTATCTTACAATCAGAATTTCTGAATACCATTTTTGTTTGGGTATTATTTAGGTATAGTGGAGAATTCAGAGAAATTGGAACACAAATAGATGATTTAGCCAGTAAGATATGGGAAAATGTAAGTACATGTATCTTCTTAAAAATTAAGATTCCTTATTTTCTCTTTATACCTGTTTTGAATTTTTATCGTATGGATATAACACTTTTCTAATAAAGATTATAATTATATTCACAGTGTACTAATGAAAAACGATATTTGAGAAAGGTAGAGATTTTTTTACTCATTTATTAGTTTATTATACGTGTAATGTACTCATTTTTAATGTACTTGGTCATAATCTAAGATATAAATTATGAAAGAGATCTTAAAATTTATAGCATAAAATGTTCATAAAATATTTAAATGTTCACTAAAATCACATACATGAAATTTATATCTGTTTTCATATATCACATGCAAGCAGCACATAATGTGTATATTTTGCATATTAATATAGTTTGTATAATGTTCACATAACAATTAATATTTAACATTTTTTTATTGCAACAGGTCTGGCTATGCGCTCATCTTTGTTATAAATTTACTTATACATTAAGATACCTAATCCTGTCCATTATCGTAATTGTATTTGCAATACCTATATGTCATTTTACTTATCGCGATCTTCGCAGACATGGCTACATCTGATCACACGCTTTTCTTCTTTTCTAATTTTAATCTTTAATTATCTTTAATTCCAAATTGCTTCTCTCTTCAAGTCTTCTATGTTCTTTACACGTCTATGTTTTGCACATTTCTTACTAACAGAATCGTTTCATAGAAGCGTAACTATTAAGATCACATTTTTTATTATCTTTTTTTATTCCTGTCATAAGCTGAGTGCTAACAGGAGCAAATATCTCGAAAAGGTATGACATTCGGCTACATAAATACATGTAATCAAATTTTGAACTTTATTAATCACTGATTACATCTTTCTCTTTCTAAACATTACATCCATAATTGCTTGATCAAAAAATCTATTTCTTCCTTATAACTATTAATACTTCTTCTATGTTGACATGTTAAATTTCATAAAGTAAACGCTGCTCGTAACTAAAACACAATTTAAAAATCTCGAAATTTTTGAAAATAATAAAATTATGCAGTTTCGCATATTATAAAATATCATAAAATAGTGCAGTTCTGATGGAAAGAATGATTTTTACTTTTGTTCAGTTCATGAAGCCACTCTACCAACAATTTGTGGAGAAGTCCGTGTCTGTAGCAGTGGCGCAGGCTGCTGAAATAGCGGTAACGAATTCAACAAACGCCACTGTCACTGCCAATGGCAAGCCTAAATTATTGTAACATTCATTCCCGTAATATCTTAATTGTTCAAACGAATCGAAAATATTGCATCCTTATATGTTAAGTGGCATAATCAAATTTTACAATATCGTGATGTTTTGACATACCGCCATGAATAGTTTTTTCTCTGTTTAAAACTAGATTAAACATTATGGCTTGGAAGCACTAATTTGAAAATGACTGTGAATGTATATACGATGTATTCTAATTATAAAACAGCGTTAGATTGATGGAAATCGTGTGATTACTAGTATTGCCTAGTATATCCTTGATATGGATGTTGTAAAAATAAAATCTTGTACTGGTGAAAAATATTATTATTGTAGCTTGACCTGAAAGTTTTATCAAGGGGATGTTAATATATTTAAAGTTATTGCAAATTATCAAAAGGTAGAAAAGTGCATTTGTAAAAATATTAAGAAATAGGAAAAAATAAGTCCTTATATAGCAACTTTTCGTTTGTTTCCATTAAGTTTATGAAGTTTTCCTGTTGTATCCATTACATTTAAAATGCATTTTGCAGTTAATTTTTATTTTAATAAGAAGGATTTGTTTTGCATTATGTCTTTGTTATTTTTGTGTTATTTATATGCTTGGACTAACGAAGTTCAGATTTCATTCGTGCCAGAAATGCGTAACATGAGTTGTACTGGACTACTGTTTAATAAAAGGATGTATATATTGCACGCGATGTTATTCACATTCTACATAATTCGAAAAAAAAGTGATAAAAATACTTAGAATTTATTTAACTGCGATATAGATATTCATACACGCCATATTGCTATAGTATATGACTTTATTAAATGCAATATCTCGAAGTTGCCCGATTACATTGATCTACTTAAGAGTAATATAAGTCTTATTACCAACACGCTGTTAATAGTAATCAAATTTGTGTAGATATGCTGGACTCCATTTTCTATATTGCTCATTGAATAAAACTGATTAATATTATTACTTTAAATTTACCAAGTTTATAATGTTAGATTTATCTAAAACGATTAGCAAATATAAAAAATATTAGCTTTTTTATTTCCATGAATTTTGTTCAATGAGTAATTTTGATAATAATTTGACGTATGCGTGTATTAAAACTCTACCAAGTCTTGCCAAGCGAATTACTAATATACTTCGATCTATAATGTGTAGTTAATAGAGTATATACCTATATAATAAATTTATTTTTATTTATACACATGCATGGAATTATAATTTTTAAATACGAAATTTATTAATGAATTATAAAACTGGACTTGCAAAATTTTATAGAAAGATAATTACTACGATGTATTAATAAATGTATACGTTATCGTTTTAAAAAAATATAGTTTTGCGTAAAAAAATATTTTATACTTTTTCTAATGTAGCAAAAATTATAAATGTACTTGGTGGTGGTTTTAATAACACTATAATTTATTTGTGTAGTTTATATTTTGAAATATTTACTTCATGAAGACATATTTAAAAAAATAAGCTCACGTTTGCACACCAAAATATAATTGCTACTTTATAACACGTTAGATCCAAAATTTGAAGTGCGTTATTATTTTTTATATATATAATGATGTCTTTTCAATTTCTATTAATAAATATTAGAGGTAGCTTTAAAAATATTATATTGATTGATATATTTGTTTTAGTAGTTGAGATACAACGATACAAGTGAATAAACAGTTTTGTATTATTAACATGGAGCCATATTCATCATCTTATTGTATTTTATACAGAATAGATGTATGTAGGATAATAGAAAGTAATTTAGCGGAAACGCATGGTTATGGAAGTGCCATTAAAATTTAATTTTGAATTACAAGAGATCTTATGTCCCGTGCTAAATTTTATTTATTAATTTTATAGAATTCCTCAAATTTCATTTTTAATAGATTACATATAGGTAGACGAGTTTAGTACACGATTACATATTAACTCAAGTTTGTGATCAAATTCAACAGTTGCACTTAATATTTAGACCATTATTCTTTATCATATCATATTTCAAACTTGAGATAATATGTAACAGCAATTATTATTAAATCACAATTTTTTCATATCAAAGAAGTTGTATTATGTAATTTTATAAAATTATTAGGAACTGACAAATATATGAAGGTTAATCAAATAGATTGTTCAAATCATTTGCAGATATGGATATTTGTATGAAAGAAGAACTTGTAATGTCTTATATTTTACAAAGTTATAATGTAATTAAAAATATATAAACATGACACTATAATAATTTGTAGTCATGGTTATTGACAAAGTTACGTCGATCGAAAATTTTGTATCATAAAAACATGTGTAGAAATGCATTATGTATATTTACTGCACATATATAATTCTATCTTTTAATTATCCATTTTATACTAATAAATATTATAATAAAAAAGATAATGATTGTAACAAATTAAATAATATATGTATCTACATCTGTAACTATGCGCAGTACAACTTTTTAATTTAATGTTATTAATCTGTTTAAGGCACAAACATTATATAATATAATAATAATTATGTGATAACGGTGGTGATAGTAATATTAAAATAATCGAGCATAAGTTATCACGAAAAGAAATAAAAATCCCATTTTTCTGTTTATAAAATAAATATATTTTATTTCTTAGGAAAATGAATTTGTATGTACAATTACAAAACATTTAAAAAATATTCTAGTAAGTCTTAAACATTCTCCTCATCATATCTTTATTTCTCTGAAGTGATTCTTGCAATCTACTGTTGTACACCTCAAATTGTTCTTTCGCCGAGTGATTAGTAGATTCTAAAGTAAGTACTGCCTTCAAATCTGCTGTAGCGTTTTCGTTGTCTCCTATATTACCATACGCTACTCCTCTTCTATACAAGGCCTTAACATTATTCTCATCTTTGTTCAACACCTTTGTGCACAGTGTAATGACATGTTGATAGTTCTTTCGCTTCAATTGACATATAGCCATGTTATTATACAACGCAAGTCTCAAATTATTAATATTATATTCCAACTGCTTATCTAATTTTAAGTCAGCTATCGGCTCCAATGTTATGAGAAGCTTGCAAGCTTTGCTGAACCTGCGAAATGCATCTATGATTCGGGAGTCCTCGAATAACTCGGTACCTCTCCCTTTATATCTCAAAGCTACTTGATACTTTTCTTCTGCGCTCCAGTCCCAAACTGTTTTATGACGTTTACAAAGAGACAATGTGATCTCAAACTTAACTATTACAGATTCATTGTTATCTATAGATTCATCCGATTGTTTTAAAGGCATGGCAATGATAACAAGACTCCTCTCATTGATATTCATCATACAAATCACTCTCTCAACTTTTTCATCAATTTCTGAGCTGGCTTCTCCTATAATCACCGTCTTCTCAAGCTCGCCATCAAGAATATTAGTATGATATTTCTCTTTCAAATCCGTTTCAGACATTCCAGAAATGTTTATATTCTCTACAATAATACTGCATGTGGAGCATTCCGTTGGCTTCTTGGTAAAAACACCCGGCTTTAGCACTCTCTTTTGGATGCTTTTGTCTGCTGATTTCCATAAATGCGACATCGTGACAATACATCAATGATCAATTCTGTAACATGATACTATTAATCAGTTATTAGAGACATTAATATTATATTAAGGTGTAGATTTAACATGCAAACTATTCAATCTACTCGTTTCAACAAACGCTTCTTAAATTCATTTATTTTAGACTAACCATGAGCAGGGAGAAACTTGACAGCGTATTCCTTTGGGATGCAACCTTGCACTAGTTTCGTGTAAGCGCTACACTAAAATGGTGCATACCATGATGTATCCTACTTCATCATTACGCTAAAGTCCTGCTTTCAGTCAATTCGAACTTCTATTTTCAAATTTTAAATGTGCGCATCGGAATGCGGCAACGCTTACCGCACGGCGAAAGTTGTCACACTAACCAATAATTCTATGGTTTTAAGTCTCGCCTTGCAAAACTTCTAGAAATGATGTTAGGCCGGAATCAGACTACGCATTGAAGATGGAGATTGAAGATTGAAGATTAAAATTTGACCAGTGAAAACAGAGGAATTTTAGCTCCTATTGTTTTGATTGGTCAAATTTCAATCTTTCAGTCTTCAATTTCAGGCTGCGGTCCACTTGACGCTACAAATGCTTCGAAGCGTTTGAGCGACCAATCAGAACAAAGAATTTTACGAATTGACTAATCAAAGAATGCTTCGAAGCGTTTTTAGCGTCAAGTAGACTGCAGCCTCAATTTTCAATGCATTCCGGCCTTATGCTGGATTCACACTGCATTCGATTTTCGTCGTACGA